CAAAATATGAGTTTTTACATGGGGGAGTTAGATATATATAAAAATATTTTTCAACTGTCATTTAAAAATTAAAGATACCTTAATGTCTTCATTTGATAAATTTTGTGGTTCTAGCGACAGTCGAAGATGAACGAGCAATAAATCAGTCATCTTCCTTCAGTGTTTTCAGATTTCTCGTCACTAAAATATCTACCATATGAATATAATATGAATTTTTTAATTAAAATGTTTCGTAATTTTCAAAATCACACTGTAGTCTTATCCAAAAATAGAAGCAAGCTGATATCAGACTATATTAAGTGGTCACTTAAACCTTCAAACTTAAGACGTATTGTATCTGAGATTAATCCCGATAATTCGCTCGGCAATATTATATCACAGTGTTAAATCACTCTTATCGCACATCGCGTTCTGTAATTATCACCGTTAATTTCAAATAGGACAAACGCACGTTCTGACGAACATGTCACAAAATCTCTGTTTATTTTATTAAAATTTATATTTTTTCAAAGAGATTCTCATAAGAATTTAACAAAATTTTTCTGCAGTTAGAATAGTTTACTAGTAAACCGGTATTTTTTAAAGTTCATAAAACCATTCAATCGATCTATAACGCAGTGTTGATAATAATTAATTATTTTGTTTGAAGCTTCAATGACAGGAAAAAGGTCTTACCTGACATCTTAGAGGTCATCGGACAGACACCCATGGTGAAGCTGAATAAAGTTCCGAAGTCACATGGAGTAAAATGCGAAGTTTGTAAGTTCAAGTTTAATTTTAAAATAAAACACCAGCCTTTCTAGCTCTGAAAAATATGACGATAAATTGTTCAGTCCATTATCAGCACACAACTGATAAATTCATAATTATTTAAGAGATGAATTATACGTAGCTAAACCTGTCCATCAATTATCTGAATTTGAAATTATTGAATGATTAAATACTTGAATGCCTGAATGGGAAAGTTGATAGTTAGCACGTATATCCCCTGTAATTTTTTTCCCTGAAGGCTGAGGCGATTGTTAATTCTTTCATCCATAATTTGTAGACGTTGATCCTAATTATGTAGGAATCTGATCGCATCCATTGAATTGATCTCTTCCAGACATATAAACAGGTAATTTTCTCTGCTTAGGGTGTACAGAATTTTCCTCTCCTTCTTCCTCTCTTTACGTATGGTAAAGTACTACAATCACAAAGAGGATAGTACGGTCTGGTCTCCCTCTTCGAGTTATTTTTCGCCTAATTGAGTTCGACTTAATTTTTTTCTTACTTACCCTCAGTTACATTATGTTATTATTCAGTAAATTCAATTAGTTGCGGGGAAAAATCCCCGGGAAAACTTGTATATACTGGTAGCCGACAAGTTGTTGACGTAAATCGCTCACCGACAAATAGAATTAACTGTCAGAATAATTACCAATTGTTAGCATCTCATTTTTTCCATTACTTGCACGATGATGTAACTCAAGGAAGTCCTTCGTCAAAAGTTTATGATTACCTTTTGAGAGTAGCTATTAACAATGAATTTTAAAAACACTTTTCGAAAAACTTTATTTCTGGAAATATTTTATATTACGGAAGAACGTTAATTACGTTGTAAAAATTGGAATTGGAAAAAAAGAGTGAATTATTTAAGAGGTGTATGGGGAGGAAGTGGGGTTTTTGGTTTGCGCTAGGAATTGTACCGAAAAAGGGAATGGAATTTTAACATCAAGTGTTGTCAATTTATTAATGTCTCGTTAAATTAAAATATTTATACTGATTTCATAATCGTGTCATTGTTATTGAGTGTCTCTTCTACCTGATTAACACGTTGATTAACTCAACTGATAATTTATGAGATAATTAACTGATACTGACTGTTGAGAAAATGATAAATTCAACCGAAAAGTCTGACCTTGATGACTGGTTGTAGGACTGAAGTACAGTCTGAGTCTGAACGACTACTAAAACTATGATTCTCTGTAAATATCTGAGACAATACTGATATAATTTCTTTTATTTGAATTCGAAGGATTCAAACCTGAATTCGATCTGATCCGACGATGAAAACCTTGAAACGCTTCATGGTGTTTTACACGCGTTAATTTCTTGTTGCAGTTGTAAAATGTGAATTCCTCAATCCTGGAGGATCTGTCAAAGATCGAATTGGTTATCGAATGGTTCAGGATGCTGAAGCCAAGGGAATCTTGAAGCCAGGCTCGACAATAATTGAGCCAACAAGTGGCAATACTGGAATTGGTCTAGCAGTAGCTGCAGCAGTCAAAGGGTACAGGTGCATAATCGTGATGCCCCAGAAAATGTCAAATGAAAAACTTCATACACTTCAAGTCTTGGGCGCTGAAATTGTTCGGACACCGACTGAAGCTGCATGGGACAGTCCTGAAGGCCACATTCGTGTTTCTGAGAAACTTCGGAAGGAAATTCCCAACAGTGTTATTTTAAATCAAGTATGGAACACTTTTCATTTATTGACTTATTTCCACGTTTCTTTTTGACTTATTGATTGAATTGATAATTCCTTGAAATAATCCTGCCTTTTATTCTGTTGTGGAAAAGCGAAACGTTATAGTTAAAGTAAAACTTCTTCAATTATTAAATCATGTCCAAAAATAATTACTCAAGGAGTACGTGTCATGAAATTTTGATTAAGATTTCTTATAAAATCACGGATGTTTGGGAAAACTTCTCGTTTATATTATCACGAAATTGCTCTTCATAATTGATACACTTTTAAAAATTTATTGACATTTTAGTCACAAAGTCTTTTAAATTTCCAATTAAACGGGTTTGAATTAAATTTCAATTAAGTACGTAATTTAGTAAATTTCCTACTTGTTTTCATGTCAAATGATAATTGATTTGCCAATGAAAACCTAAATGCTCATGCTCATCGTCAAAATGTAACATCAAATACAATTGAAATTTCCGGAAAATTATTTTCTGAATTTATTGACATTTTCACGGTCTTTCCGTATTACATTGACCTGAAAATTGAGAATTAGTGGAGTTACATCAATAAAATAATTGATTTGTCAATGAAAAATCCTACAGAAATTTCACGTGACTTCATCGTTGTTACTCATTTAAAGTTTGTTTAATTAAAAATTTTAAGTGTAATTTCTCAACGGTATACTCATCGTTGACGTCCGGCTTTTTGTTTGAAGTTTCATACTAGATATCTTTCAATAATAACGAGTTTTCAGAATGATTTGAAAAACCTAAATCGAAGATTGTTAAATGTTTGTTTTGTTCATATAAATTTCTTCATGTGGGATGACAGCAGTGCATCCTACAATTTGAAACTATCATGGGAAAATTCACCTAGTAGCTGCGTACATTTTTCGTTCGTCACATATTACTAAAAATAAATTGTTTATGACAGTACATCAACCCCGGAAATCCTCTGGCGCACTATGATCAAACCGCTACAGAGATTTGGGAGCAGACAGACGGAAAAGTAGACTATATAGTTGTTGGAGCTGGCACTGGAGGCACAATAAGTGGAATCGGTCGTAAAATCAAAGAGTTATCACCGAAAACTGAAATTGTTGGAGTCGATCCGTTCGGATCTATTCTTGCTCGACCTGCAAGTTTGAATGACTCAAAGACTACGTATTACGATGTCGAAGGAATTGGGTAAGATATATATAGTTGGTAAACAATGCAAAAGAAAAAGACACTCTCTGGAAAATTATCAGATAATCATCAGACATTTTTATTTACATGTGGAAGTTGATTAAATCTGAGTATAATTTGTTCTAAAATTATCAAATTTCAACTTATGTAAAGAAATAAGTTGCGATGGAGAATAACTTTTTTTAAATGTATTTTTTGTTTTTTTGTTATGAGAATAATTTATAACGAATCGTTATACACACCTTTATTGTGGTTTTATAACGATTCGTAAAAGATTGACATATTT